CAAATTGACATTTATTTAATGAATTTATTATACAACAAATTGGCTGAAAAATGCTTTGACTTGTTTCAAAACTTCAAAGAAAATAGTTTGTCTCTTTTCCCTAACTTCCTTGGAAATGCAAGCTTTCTGCAGAGGATTAAGTGGAAAAATTAAAGCAATATTTACCAATTTAAGCCTGGCTCAGGCAAAACCATACTACATAATACAATTTGTAAGTATTACCCCTGATATTAAGTGCTCAGAAGACTGGGATTTGGAGTCAATCTGTCATCAGGATGGATGGACTCTATCGCACAGGAGAGAATAATGTTTTTTTCATCTGAGCTAAATATGAATTAATCCATGTAGGTGTGTCTTCCGTTCAAAACAAATTCTTGACTCATTTGAATGCAGAGAAAGGGACAGATTATGGGAGAATGAGCAGAAGAGTCTTTTTTATGCACTTGCAGTCTAGCTAGTCATTCCCTTAGAGAACTCAGCTTGTCCTGCTTCTTGCTTGTAATTTGCAAGTTGGGGCACAACTTAACTGAGCTAATGGGCGCCCTTGTCCATCACAGATGGTGGCTGCTCAGACTCGTAGTAATCCCTGTAAGGGACGTCACGTCGGGTCTGAGGAGCAGTGGTTTTGCCGTGGCCTGTCGAGGCAGGTCAGCCGGCGAGTCTCCTGCGCGCTGACAGGGAACGTCAGAATTCAGTCAGACAAGAATCCATATTCCTCCTGCCTGCGTGCCTCTGCTCACATGGCAACCCGGGTGCAGCATATAATTTTAAGAGAAAATACTCCCGCCTGATTCACAATGCAGCTCTTTGTTTCATACTCTGTACTCGTTGTCGCACAGAATTTTCATCAGTGTCAATGAAATTCTGCATGCAGAATTAGCAAAGCATATAAACCAGTCCTTTTCGGTTATCCTATTAAACGTCACTGACAACAGCATTTTCACATGCAATTAAGATAAGCGTGCAATACCAAGAGTCCAAGCAATATTACAGATAACTTTATCAGAAAAGGTCTATGCTTCTACAATTACCTGAAGAACATTTTTGCTAAATGAAAAAGGAATAATGAATAGCTTCTGATGTCCTGACATTTACTGCGAAAAAAGAACTGGGTTCTAATCTCCATCACGTAGCAGAAATGGAAAAGTTAACTGTCCTGCAAATGCTATTTGCTGAACTGTTTTAAAGCATCGCCATCACTTCTGCATTGTCCAAAGCTCTAACTTCTTCCTGTGAAATTTTGTTTAAGGAAGATAGCTGGCACTGGAATAATGAAAGCTTTGAAAGACTATTAAGATTGAGTTAATAAATAAAAGTGTTTTATGAATACAGATCAAAACAATTATTTTCAATAAAACCGGTGTGTTCTAAAAAGCTTGCTTTAATAAGAACTTCCATCGTGAGTTCCCATCCCAGCATCTGTTCCTCCTCTCACATTGTCCCATATCTTCTATTTGACTATAAAAACCATTTACTTGTTATGTCCCAAAGCCTTTTCCCCAGCATCAGTGCCTTTCAAAAAGAAAACCACTGCCAACAGCCCCGTATCGATGAACAGTCCTAAAGTACCATGCCAGCAAACGTACTTGAGACAGGAAATGTTTTTAACATGTTATCTGTAAAGAAATAAGCAACACTTCCAAGCACCCATAAAGTTTATCAATATGAAAAGAGGAAAGTGCTTGAAAATTGAAATGAAGACACTTTGGCTGCCCTTTGTTTATAGATACAGTCATGGTTTTTAGTACAAACTATCTGAATTAGGAAATTCTGTCCTAACACCCAACAGCTCTGGCCAAAGTGGCTAAGAAAAACTTAGCTACTAATTCTGAAATATTTTAGCATTTAAAATTAATTGGGTCAGAACATTACATGTGCTGCAAGCACATGTACAAAATGGGATTAGTTTCCAAATAGTCTCCCGAGATTTAAGTCATACTCTTAAATCTCTCTTGTGGCAGTTTGTTCTGCCTTAATCTCTGTTCTGTAACAGTCTTCCATTGAGGGATTTTTTTCCCTAGAAGTCATAAATTGGCACCAGATAACGGTTTGACAGCAGAACGTACCGACAATCAGTGAGTTAACTGCCGGAGTAGCAACCTTCATTAGTTATAACATGCTAATAGACCATAATAAAACACATATACCTTACTTCCATCACATTATACAAGCTGCATAAACAAAATATTTATATGGTGTAGAACACACAAAAAATACAGTAAAAGCACGAATGACATAGTGGTCACAGTAAACCATACATGTTCTTTATTGACGTTTCCAACCTCTTTCATTATTTACAGTTACAGTCCGCAGAAGGGATGAAGGATGTTGGGCATGTGTATATATTCCCTGCTGTCAATCCTATGAAATAGGAAAACAATAACTTCCAGGCTAGGCACCCTTTCCTTTGGCCTCCATATGAAACCCATGTGCAAAGGAAATCTTTCAAAACCTTTTGTCATTAAACATCAATAAATGCATTACATATAATAATAATTATAGCATATGAGAAACAGCAGTAATTGGTGCTCCCTCTACCTTCTAAAAGATCAAAATTCTGCATCCAAATACAAAAGAAAACCCTTACAAATCCAGTATTTTATTTTAATTCATGGTAATGTATCTATTTTCCTGGCCAGGAGCTGCTGATATGCCGTCAGAAATTAAAAATAGATCTGCAAATTTTATTGCAATTTTTCAATGCATTATTGGCGATTTTTTTTTCTTTGCAAGCAGCAGATAACGTGCCATCCCCATTTTATTCCGCAAGTCCTTCTCTTGCTCTCTCTTTGCAGCGATCTGAACACCTTTGCTTTGTTCCACCTCCTCCTCCTCCTCCTTCCCCCACCTCTCTCTCCAGCTGTCCATCTTTGCAGCCCTTGCAAATTCACGAGTTTTCACGATCACCTTAGAAATAAGCCTCCTTCCTCAGCTACAGGAGCATGGACGGAACAAATGTCTAAAATTGTCTGTATAAAAGCATGCTTTTTTACCTTCTGGATAGTTTGCTGGGTGACCTCCCCTTTGCCTCTTGGGCGAGCAGAAGCAAAGGCAACCGACATGGTGGGGCTTTTTTTTTTTTTTTTTTTATGATGTGTCTAT